GCCGGGGGCGGGAGGGCAGGCGGACGCCGTACCGCGAACCGGGGAGGTGTCTCAGCAGCCAGGGGGCGCTGGCATGTGTCCGGTGGTAGTGGCGGCGGCGCGCCCGGGGTAGCAGTCGCCCGCGCGGGCCACTCCGCGGCCAAGGGGCGCCGGGGGGCCAATGACCAGCGCAGCGCCAGCGGCAACGCGGCGCCATAAGACTCATTCCGCTGCCTGGCCCGCCCGCCGGAGGGCGGAGAGGCCGGGCGCCGGCTGGGGGAGACATGTGCTAACACGCGGACATAGGCGCCCCGCCTTTCGGGCCACAATCCGTGTGCGCTCGGCCATTTAGGCACCCAGTGTGGGCAGGGGGGGGGAGGGCGGGGGTCCAGCCGCGCGCGCGGTGCTCCCCGTGCGACAGTCGTGGCCGCGCCGGCTCCGCGCCCGCCGCGTAGCGCATCTCGACTCGAGCACGCCAGCCGCCAGGGGCGCCGTCGACCTCCTCGGGCCTCTCTGCCCCCTTGCGCGGAGTCACTGCGCTCGGGCGAGCGCAGAGCCGGCGCGGGGCCCGGGGGCTCTCGCCGCGCGGCCGGGCCCTGCCCTGCAGGGGGAGGCCCGGGGGTTGGTCCTTCCGGCGCGTCAGTTTTTCCGATGGCCGGCCCGGCCCTCACGGAGAGGGGGGCAGAAACCCCGGGCCTCCACTTGTGCCTCCCCCCCCCCACGGGGTTCGCTAGGGCCACCAGTGTGCTCCAACATGCCCCGGCGTGGGGGCGCGGCCAGATGGAACGCTCCTATCCCCGAGGGCGCCCCTGCGGGGAAAAGGGGAACCCTGGCATGGCCGCCGCCACTTTTGGCGCCCGGGGCGGCGGCGGCGGCGGCGGCGGCGGCGGGGGGGCATCCAGGCGCTGGTGCAGTCCTACAGCACCCCAGAGGGCAGCCAACTTGCAGGGAGATGGTCCCCTCAGTCCCCCCCCCCGCAGCCAGCACCCCCCAGCCACACGGCCGGTGGACACCGACGAGCGGCCCGGGCCCGGGGGGGGGAGGCGGGACCCATGCGCGTCATCCGGCCTGGCCGCGCGCATCCACGCGCCCCCGTTCACGGGCGGCCACGGGCCACGAAACCCCGCCCGAGCCGCCGGGGCTGCCATGACGGTGGGCGAGTGCGGCCACGGGCCGCAGGGCGCGCGCGCGCCTTGCTGCCCCAGCAGCCTCCCCCCCGGCCTGTGCCCCTCCACCCCCGGCCGACCGGGGCGTCGGTCTTCGACGGACAACCCCAAGTCTCAGGACGCCCAGGGGGGATGGGGCGCGCGCGCGCGTGCTTCAAACGCGGCGGGGCGACGTTGGACCCCCGCTGTCTCCGCGGCGTCCTCTCGCGCGCTCGAGCCGCGGCCAACCACTCTGCTGAGGCGCGCGGGCGAGCCCGGCTGCTCCGGGCCCCCCCGCCCCGCCGGGTCGGCTAGCCAAGGAAAGGTACTCCCAACCCTCGGACACCCCAGCCCCAGTGACCCATCTACGAAGGCAGACCCTCGATGCTGGTGTAGCAACCTTGGCCCAGGCTCATCCCCGACAAGGGGCCGGCGAACACCCCGGGTCCGGCCACGGCCGCGCCAGCGATTCCGCCCTCCCTCCCCGGCACGGCGCCCGACACTCCGATGCGAACCCCCTTTCAGGGGGAATCCCGCTCGGGGCCCGGCCGCTCGCGCGCCGCCGCCGGCCGTGCCCCAGCTGCACCGCAAAGCTCCAGCTCAGAGCGAGCACCCGCATGCTCTTCAGATGCCCATTCCCACACCCGGCATGCCAATGGACGTGCCTCGCCTCGGGCGCGGTCCCCAGGACCGCCGCTGAGGAGGGGGGAGCGAACAACGGGAATAGAAGCCGGCCGGCTGGCCCCCCCCCCCCCCGCCAGGGAGAGCCGGCACGCACACACCATGGACACAAGGACAGATCTATTTTTTTTCTCCACTCGGCGCGCTCCCGGCCTCCCCTCTCGTCCTCGCACACACACACCCCTCTCTCCCGACATGCGTGCAGCAGCAGCAGCAGCAGCAGCAGCAGCACACACACAAGGGAGGGGGAGGCGCAGGAGGGGAAAGAGAAAGGGTGGAGGGGGAATGAAGCACAATGCCAACACCACACAAGCACGGGGGGCACGAATCCCCTCTCCTTCTCGATCACATATTCTTCTCCCCCTCTCTTACACACACACACACACACACACACACTGCCTCCCAGAGGAGGGAGGCGGGGGGGGAGGGGGATAGCGGGTGCGCACGACGCGCGTCCTCTGGCGAATCAAGAGTTGAGCATCTGCAGGATGAGGTCTTCCTGGGACTCGAGGGTGGCTGGGATCTCGGCCGGGCGGGCACGCTTGGCCGGCGAGGTGTCCTCCCCAGCCGGCGAGTAGCCGCGCTTGCTGCCAGCCGGCGACCGGAAAGCATCCTCCTCATCGGACGAGGACTCGTCCCCCGGGGGAGCGGCATCCTCCTCCATGTCATCCTCATCGTCAGAGCGCATGGCCCGGGCGGCGCCGGCGGCCTTGCGCGCAGCGATCTTCTCGTCGCGCGCCTTGCGCCACTCCTCGAAGGCCACCCGGGCGCTCTCAATCTCGCCGGCCTCCTGCTTCTCCTTCATCTTGGCCAGGACACGGCGCTCGCGCAGCTTCAGCCTCTGAAGATCCTTGTCCTGGATGTCGGCCACCTGCAGGGTCTCCCGCTCGCGAGCGATGTACTCCTGGACGCGCGCGCGGCCCGGGCAGACGTCCAAAAGGAGGGAGGGGGGGAAGGGGGAACAAACAGTCAGACCAATGCATGCAGACCCTGGGCCGGCCCGCTCCCAGCAAGGTAGGCCGGGGGGGGGGGGGGGGGGGGGGATATGGATGGCGAAGGGCCGGGAAGGAGAAGATCCCCTCAGGACCCGGCGGGACGGGGAAAGCGAAGGAGCGTAGGGAGGCTCGGCCGGCCCCGGGCCCCGGGGCCGCGTGGCATGTGCGCACCATTCGAACGCTCTGTTGTCGGTACCACAGCGACTCGCTCGTGTCCGCGCGCCCGGGGCCTGAGACGCGGTCGTGTCCCAGACGCCACGCGTCGGGGGGCCTGTGCCCGGGGTGGCACCCGCGCGACCCGGGGCACGTCTCCTCTCCCGGCGCGGTGGCGGGACTTTGTGGGGTGCGGCGGGGGGGGGGGGGGGGGGGGGGGGGGGGGGGGGGGGGCGATCAGGGAAGAAGGAAGACAGCCGGTGGACACGTACCTCGGCCTGCAGAACCGCGGTGTCATGCTGGAAGGTGGACTCGTCCTCGACGAACTTCAGCTCCCGGCCAACGCCCTCCTCGTCGAAGAGGGTGCGCGTGCCCGAGCCGAGGGTCTTCATCCGGTGACGCTTCAGGGTCTTCAACTTGTCACGGTGCGACTGGGGCCCGGAGGGCAGGAGCTACGCGCGCGACCACGCGGGAATGACGATGCAAAGGGCGATCCGGGCGGGGAGTAAGGGCGTCAGAAAACCGGGAAGAGCCGCACACGGCGCGAGCCGAAGACACCCCGAAGCGGCACGGCAGTCAAAGTGAGGCTCCCGGGAGCGGGAGAAAAAAAGAGAAAAAAGAGGAAAAAAGAGGGAAAAAAAGGAAAGCATGCCCATACCTTGATGGCATCAATCTCCTCGGCCAGCTCATGGTCGTGACGCTTGATCTTGAAGAGATCATCGGAGTCCGAATCGCTGCCGGCGTCGGACGACTCCGAGCCGGAATCCGAGCTGCTGTCATGGATGACATCGCGCGTGGCAGTCAGCCGGGTGCCCGACCGGCGGAAGAGCTTCTCCATCCGCTGAGAGGGCCGGTTGCGCTGGGGGGGGGGGGGGGGGGGGACCACCACATGGACAGCAAGCGAGCAGGGAGGCCACATCCGCCCACACATGCACATGCATGCCGAAAGTTGAAAGCCAGTCAGAAGATGATCACCCCCCGGTAGAGCGGCGGCCGAGCAAAGGGGGGAAAGGGGGGGGGAGGAAGGCACCCGGGCAGGGCGCGCCCACGTACCGGGTTCAAGCCGTCAAGCAGGGGCTTCTTGCCCTCGGCGTCGGAGTCCGAGTCCGAGCCGGAGTCCGAGCCGGAGTCCGAGCTCTCCCCGCCGTCCGAGTCGGCATCGCTGCTGTCCGAGGCCAGCTGGCCCTTGGCCTCCTTGTCGTCCTTCTCCTCCGTCTCCTCGATGGACTCCAGGACTTGCTGGATGTCACGCGAGGCATTCTTCAGGGCCTTGGATTTCTGCGAGCCGCCATCGGAGCAAGGGCCACATGTCAGGAAGGGCCGTTCTCGCCAATGGCCGGCAAAAAAAAAAAAAGAAAAAAAAGAAAGTGCAGGGCGCTTTTTGTTGGGAAAAGGAAAACCACGAACCGTGACAAAGCGAATGCGCGGCGCGCCCGGCAGCCCCAGCGAATAGGCGTACTCCTCGAGAGGGAGCTCCGTCACATCGAAGACCTCCTTGTTGGACTTCAGGAAAATGGACCGGACATACGAGACGAAGGCCTTTGCCATTGGCGGAAACGAGGGAGCGTGGGGAGGGGGAGGGAAAGGAGGGCCCGCCCCCGCGGCGGGGTGCATGGTGATGCTTCATGTTAGATGGCCAGAAGAGCACGGGATAGCAAGGCAGTGCCGGCGGCAGGCGGAGCGCACCCGCTGGGCGAGGTACTTCACCTCGGCGTCCTGCGTGGCGAAGGACACCATTTGCTTGGAGATGGACACCGTATGGGCCGGGTTGATGTGGATCTTCTGCACCGGCACCCGGCGCTCTTCCAGCAGCTTGATCATGGCCGGCTCCTCGCTCGGCAGCAGCAGCATCATGGACTGCCCGGCCGAGTTGAAGCGAGCAGTCCGCCCCACCCGGTGGATGTAGGTATCCACATCGTCCGGGCAGTCCACCTGCACGACCCAGTCGACCGAAGGGAAATCAAGACCGCGAGCGGCTACACCCGGCAAGATGGTGAGAGGGGGGGAGCAGGAGAGAGAGAGAGAGAGAGGGGGGGGGAGAGAGGTTAGCACGTGCCGAGGAGGCCTCGTCGTGGGGGGAGAAGGGAGGGGGGAGGATTGGCCCGGCCAGGACATGGGGAAAAGGGAGAGCCCCGGCCTTGGCGAACGCACCAATGTCGGTGGCGAACAGGACCGCGTGCTCTCGGCGGAGGAAGTCCTCGAAGATGGCCATGCGCTTGAGCTGCTTCTGCTTCCCGTGCAGGGCCATGCAGTGAATGCCCGGGCGCAGGCGGTGGAAAGTCTCCTGCACAAAGCGGACCTGCTTGCAGCTGGAAAGGAAGGCAATGCACTTGATGCGCGGGTGGTTGCGCAGGAAGGAGAAAAGGACATCCAGCTTCTCCGGCAGGGCACAAGTGATGTATGTTTGCTGCAGCGCCTGGGGAGTGGCATGCGCAGACGCCTCATGCACGGCCACATACTCCGGGTCGTTCATCGACAGCCGGGCAATATCCGACAGGGACTTGGTCTGCGTGGCGGAGAAGAGCATCGTCTGGCGCTCGCTTGGGAAGTACTCCAAAATGGCGTTCAGCGTCTTGGCGAAGCCCATGTCCAAGATCCGATCGGCCTCATCCAGGACTTCAAGGCAGAGGGGGCCCGGCGGAGGGAGAGGGCGAAGAGAAGGTGAGCACGACCCGATGAGCATGACCACTGACAGACATGCTGAATGCCAAGAAAGGGGGAAGGGGGCAGGAAGAGGGAGAGACGAGGGAAACCCCCGGCGCATGTGGAAACATACCCAGCATCGACAGGTTGTCGCAGTTGAAGTCCGGCGTCTCACTCAGATGCTGCAGCAGTCGACCCGGGGTGCAAATGAGGATATTCATGTGGCGAATGCTGCCGGCCTCGGCCTGCAGGTCCTTGCCACCGGTCACCAGACCGGCCGAGAAGTTGTGCTCCCGGCCGACCTTGCGCAGGACATTGAAAATTTGAAGAGCCTATGTCGGAGGGCGTGGACCGGGCGGTCGCATCGGAAGGAGGGGGAGGAGAGAGAGAGAGAGGGGGGGGGGGGCATGCGTCAGATAGCTGGGAGGGGAGGAGGGCGGGAGGACACCGTGAACGGGCAATGTACCAGCTCGCGCGTCGGCGAAAGGACGATGGCACCAATACCATCGACACGAGACCAACTCTGCTTGTGCAAGCGCTCAAGCATCTGGAGGGGAAGGGGACAGAGAAAGGCAAGTCAGATGGTGCAAGATCAATGCGAGGACCCTGGGGGGGGGGGGAGGACAAAGAGAAAGGCCACAATGAAGACCAGAAGCAAAGGGGGAGAGAGGGAGAGAGAGAGAGAGAGGGAGCGGGGTGGGGAAAAGCATGGGCAAGCATAACGCACCGGAATCAGGTAGGACAGGGTCTTGCCAGAGCCGGTCTTCGCCGCGCCGAGAATATCCTTCCCAGTCAGCGCCAGGGGGATGGCGCGCTTCTGGATCTCAGTCATTTTGGTGTACTTGGACTTGGTCAAGCCGGCAATGGTCTTGTCGCTGAGGTTCAGATCTAGGAAGGTCACCGGGTCAGCCTTCTTGGTGGAGGTGGCGGTCGGAGTAGCGGCCTTGCCACCAAGCCGGTCCTTACGGCCATCCTTGGTGCGGGGGGCCTTCCCCTTGGAGTGCTGGCGGGCGACCTTCATCGTTGGTGGCGACGGCGATGGATGGGACGAGTGGCTCACAGGAGGGACACAGGAGGAGCAGCGAGGGTGGAAACCGGGGGGAAATGCAGAGAGGACGAGGGGAAAGAGAGAGAGAGAGAGGGGGGGGGGGGGGAGGGGGAACAAAAGGGGAAAGGCGAGGCGAGGTATTGGGGAACTGGTGGCGATATGGCGTTGGGCCACGCCGGCACAAAAGGAGGCCGCCGAACAGGAAGCAGTCGAGGCCTGCCAAATTTCGCGTGAGATCTCCTTCCTGGTGTTGCGAGAAGCCTCGGGGTGCATCTGGCGGGCGGGGACGAGCGGAACACCGAGCCGACAAAGGTGAGGACGGGGGGGGGGGGGGGGGCGACACCACACGGGTGGCACCGGAGGGGGGGGATGGGACGGGGAGCGTGGGCGTCGGGCGAGCCGGAAGCATGGCGCAAGAGACATCACGTGCGCATTCGTGGACATGTGTGTGGTGCTTCAATCGGAGTCTCCGTGTGCTGAAGTCTATTGGGGCGCAGCCAGCCGACCCTGGCCGTGTGGGTGGGTGGAGCAAGAGGAGGGATGTGCGAATGCGCATGGCAAGAGTATGTACATGGCATGAACACGGATTTACACACACGAGCGCACAGACGCACAACAATGCTGTGGGCCTGGGATGCGGCACCGGCTGGGGAAAGGGGCCATGGCAAAGGGGAGAAATATCAAAGGAACAAGGGAGAAGGAGAATAACAAGGAGGGGGAAACACAAGAGAATGGCCGAAGCCGGGCATATGGACGAGAAAAGGAAGGGGAACGACGAAGGATGAGGAAGAAGGTGCACGTGTGCGCATCAAGAGAAGGGAGAGAAAGAGAGAGAGAGAGAGAGAGAGAGAGAGAGAGAGAGAGAGAGGGAGGGAGAGAGAGAGAGAGAGCGCGCGCTTCTCAGACGATGCGAACGAGGGATGACCGAGTCCCTGCCGCTGCGAGCGACGTCAACAGACGGACATCCCGCGAGGAGAGGTGATTGTGCCGGACATCCACCATCGGCAAGTGGAAGCCCTGCTCGATGGCCATGCGGTCGCCTGGGGGCACCGGGGCACCTGAGCCGCTGGCGATATCCAACGGGTCCAGGTGGATTTGATTCACCAGTGTGTCGACCGAGTCGACGGTGATGGTGTTTTCTGTGTCGAGGAACAAGAGTGAAGAAAGTCCCAGGTGTGCATCAGTGGACCATATCGACATAAGGAGGGGAGGAGGGCGAGCGACAGAGACAGAGAGAGACAGAGAGGTGAGAGGGAGGAGAGAGAGACAGAGAGAGAGAGAGAGACAGAGAGAGAGAGAGAGACAGAGAGAGAGAGAGAGACAGAGAGAGAGAGAGAGACAGAGAGAGAGAGAGAGAGACAGAGAGAGAGAGAGAGAGAGACAGAGAGACAGAGAGAGACAGAGAGAAACAGCTCTGAAGAAGGGGGCGCAAAAGCAGATGGCGCACCACGCAGGTCGATGGAAGCAACAACAGCCCGGGCTGGGGTGTGGCGCCCGGGGCCCGGGCCGCTTGGCGAGTGATGCCGGCTGCCATCGGCGCTGCCGGCGCCAACAGCACCGGCACCAGGGGCGAAGATCGACTCCGACAGGAAGAAGACTGCCCGGTCGTCGATTCGATTGCCAGACAAGTCCAGATCGCGCAGGGCAAAAACGGCCGACCGGGGCGCCAAGCGCTCGAGCCCGACACAGGACGCCGGCGGCCGAACCTGGCCACGCACGGAGACCCCCCCGTCGGAGGTCGACCGGTGGGCCGGCACCGGGGGAGGTGGCGGTGTGCCCCGGGGAGCTCCGGCCGCCGGAGCAACCACCGGCGGCAGATGCTGCCCAGCCAGGGTGGCATCCAATGGAGCAGTGAAACGCGGGAGTTCCCGACGAGCCGCCAGCCGCTGCTGGCAGAACTCCTCATCGGAACAGGTTTCGTCCCCCGCATTGGGGCAGACCATGTCCTCGAAGCCCGACACCACCGACGGCGGGGACTGACCAGACCGCCAGGAGGACGACATGGCACTGAGGCTGCTACTGACCCCGCCGGGCCCCGCGTCGACCTCCCCCTCGGGGAAGACATTGATTCCGGGAACGAACACCGCGCTGGCGCGACGGTGTCGGATGAGGGCCGAGCCGATGCTCCGGCTCAGAGCCCCGGCCTCCATGCGCTCGACCATGAGACGATCATTCTCCGGCGCATAGACCCCATCAGGGAAGACACCGGTGGGCGATTCGATGGTCGTGCCGGCCAGGGGCAGGCCGATTGTGTTGACCACCAGCCCGGGACCGCCGCCGCCGCCGCCGCCGCCGCCGCCGCCGCCGCCGCCGGTCGCCGGGAACCCCCCCGGCGAGGTGGGAGACCCGCCCGGCACCACGGCGGCCAGTGACAGGCAACTGCCGACCGGGGATTGGCCACTCAGCGGGCTGGCCAAATGGGCATCCGAGCTGGCCAGCGCCGGCGACAGACTCCCCGGATCGGCCTGCGGACGGAAGGGCGACGTCAACAACAGCGGCCCGGGCGACGGAAGGCCATGGTCTCCCGACCCGGTCGCCTGCCAGGGAGCAGGTGGCGGCGGAGGCGGGGCCCGCGGCCGCGGGGGGCGATGCGCCCCAGGGCTGACCGCCGAGCGAGACCCGCCAGTCGGCGACCGAGGGCCCGCCAGGGGATCCACCTCAATCGCCAGGGTCAGAGCCCGGAACAGTTCAATGGCCCCGGTGCTGGTGATGGCGTTGTGGGAGAGATCCACCCGTTGGAGGGTGCCCCCGAGCTCCGACATGCCGGTCGTCGGGCTGTCGGCCCGGGCCCCAGCTTCCGGGCATCGAGCCAGGGCGCGTGCCCATTGGGACACACGCAACTGCAGGAAGTCCGCAATGGCACAGGCCCCCCGGTCGTCGAGGCCCACCCCGGCCAGCGAGAGGTCGGTGAGTGCGGCAAACCAGGAAGCACTGTTGATGGGCAACGGCAGGGCCAAGCGAACCCGCGTGCCGGTGCCCTCGCCGGGCAAATGCCGCACAGAGGCATTCAGCAGGATGCTCGGCTCGAGGAGGTGGAAATCCTCATCCTCATCGTAGTCATTGTCATCCTCATCTGCCTCATCTTCGCCGGTCCCGGCATGAAGCCCGGCACCTGATCCCGGGCCACAGGCGCAAGGCAGACGCTCCACCAGGAAGGCATGCAGGAAGGGCATGTCCTCGGCATCCGAGTCCAAGAAGGCGAATGGCGAATCCTCCGGGTAGATGATGCTGGTGGCACGAGACAGGGCCGGGCCGGCACGGCCGGCCGCCCGCTCTTGGAGGAAGGCCGCCTCCGAGGGCATCCGACGTGCCGGGTGGCACCGATGCCAGGCGGAGCAGGGCGGTGCCAGGGCCGACGCAATGGCCAGGGCCCCATCCGCCCCGAGGGGATTGTGCGCCAGGGACAGGTGTCGCAGGCTGGCCGGGGCCTGCTCACAGTGTGCGGAGCAGCCCGTGGCAATGCCCCGGGGAGTTTCGGCCGGGGGCCGCCAGCCCAGTCGGCCAACGGCCAGGAGGGCATCGGCCAGGCGCTCGGCCCCCTGGCCGGTCATGCGGTTGAAGGGGGCCACCAGGCCACGCAGCCAAAGACGCCCGCAAGAGGGAAGAAGCGTCCCCCGGCGCGAGGCGGCTCCGAGTGCCGACGATTCCAGCACATCGGCCAGGCAGCCGGCCGCCTGGTCATCCAGCCCGCAGTATGGCAAGGAGAGGGACAAGCCACGGGCTTCCAAGCGCGACCACTGGTCAGCCCAAGCTTGGCCAAGGGCCGCCTGATCGGCGGCCGAGGCATCTGCGGCCAGACGTGCGTACGCCCGCCCGGCCAGGCCCTGGGGAGTGGACTGCAGAGGACCCACCGGGCAGGTCGGGGCACAGGAGGCCAGCGCCTCATCCGGCAGGACGATCCCCCGTGGGCCGGCCGAGGTCTGGCGACTGTTCCGCTGGAGGATGGCCATGTCGCTGGGGCCGATGATCGGGGCCGCGGCCATGTTCAACGCGAAGAACAGGGGGATCAGCCGCGGGACGGTCACCTGCCGGCCGGAGAGCGACAGATGCCGCAAAGGCAGCGGCGGAGCCGTGGAAGCCGACGCAGCCGGGAGGAACTCAAGCCCAGCCGGCAGGTATGGCCGGTAGTCCGCGGCTCCGGGCAGCAGGCGCAGCTTGACATGCGACCCGAGCTCCCCGGTGAATGTCCCACTCGGGGCCACGCGCATGGCCAGGGCAATGATGCCGGCCGTAGACAGCGCCGTGTCTGGGTGCCGGAAGGAGGCCACGATGAGACGGCCATGACGCCGGCACAGGGCGGAGGGGGGGGGGGGAGCATTAGCGTGTCGAACAGGGCAAGGAGGAGATGGACGAAGCAGACTCGAAGGGCGTGCGCGCGTACGATCCAGCGAAAAGCCCGTCACGCCGGAGAGCTTGAGGAACCCATTGGCCAGGCAAGCATCGGAGATGGCATTCTCGCCCAAGTGCAGGGTGGCCAGGCCCCGGCCGCCGGAGAAGTCGGCATTGGCCGGAGGCTCGTCGCCAAGACCCTCGCCCGCCGGGTCCACCCATCGAGAGTAGTATCGCATGGCCGCCACCTCTTGGCGGTCTTCGAGAGCGAAGCACAGCGAGTAGAAGGAATTGTTGCTCTGGTTGGTGGCTTTGATGGCGAGTTCGGGTCGGTGGTGGGCCGGTGGTCAGTGGCAGGGGTGGGACGGAGACAGAGACAGAGAGAGAGAGAGAGAGAGAGCGAGGGAAAAGGCGCCCAGAGGCGAAAATGAAAGCAAGCGCCACAGCGTCATGTACGCACAGGTGATGTCCAGCTCCGACAGCAGGGGCAGCGCCAAGGCCGGGGGCCGGCCCAGGTGCCCGGAAAGCTGGGCAATCCCCATGCCCGAGCCATCGTTGAACAGCCCCCCATGATCGCTGTCGTCTGAGACATCGCTGCCAAAGGAGGAGAACCCGCTCCCGAGGTCAGCCCCATCCAGGTACTCGTCCTCGGAGGGGTAGGAGTCGGGATCGTCGTCGCTGCCGGAGTAGGAGGATTTGGACGAGGTGTCGCCGCGCGAATGGAGCCCACGCCCGGCGGGGGGGTGGCGCGGGGCAAAGAAAAGCCGCGACTTCAGAAAGGCCGGCAGCAGGGGGCCCGCTTTGAAGAGGGTGTAGCTGAGGTCCAAGCGACGCAGCCCAGGGAAGGGAGCCCCACGCCAGGCCCCATTACAGGTGCAGTCCTCCGGCGAGGGATAAGTCCCGGGGTGGCGGGACATGAATCGCTGGCACGCCTCGCATGCCCGGGAGGGGTGGTCGCCCGACAAAGCGGTCAGCAGCAATTCCAGGGAAACCGAGTTTTCAATGGCATCTTTTTTTTTTTTTCATGGCCCACCGATGCACCATACACGAAGAAGGCGGTCAGTCAGGGCAAGGCGGGGGGATGGACAGAACCATCGAAGAACACCATGTGCAGAGCGAGGCGGGCGAGGAGGGGATGGAGTAAAGAGCAACACAGTGGGAGGAAGGTACCGCTGATTTGGAGGCTCTCCAGCTTCGGCGCCAGGGAGAACACCCGACTGGCCATTGGTGAAATGCTCACCGGCGAAGAGGAATCCGGCTGGGCGGCCGACGCAACAGCTGGCGCATTCGGGGTGGTCATGGCCGTGGCGGTGTGCCTGTCGGCGTCGCGTCCCAGATCCTCGCTTTTGACGCTGCTGCTATCCCCATCGTTGTGGCTGTCGTCGTCGTCGTCATCATCATCATCATCATCATCAAACTCGTCCGAGTAATCGTCAAAGTCATCGTCATCAAAGTCGTCACTCATGCTGGAGCCAAATTGATCGGCCGAGACACCGAGCAGAGACCGGTAACGATCGAGCAGGGGGTCGTCGGTGTCCGCGAGCCGGGCCCAGGAATCCAGGGACTTAGGCCGGAGAAGCAGGGCCAGGTAGGCGGCCTCGCTGGCTGGGATGGTGTTCTCTGGATGGGATGCAGGGGGGGGGG